CGGGCTGGCTGCGCTGGTGACCCTCACACTTCCTTTGCCTCTGGCAGCTAGCTGTTTGGTCTGGCCTTTGAAGGGCGTGAGTTTACTTACTTAGGAGCAAATATTTGCTGCTGATGAAGCCAGCCTTCTTAGAGTTTTCCATTCAGCCGTCTGCCAGAAGTCACCATCTCGAGAAACGCACGCGTACCCACGTAGGGGAACACGCTTAGCTTAAATGTTTGAGGCAGCCTGTGCATATGCCAGCACTGAGAAGCAAATGGAAGACTTGCGTTACTATGCCTAGACAGCTTGTTAAATGAAGCAGCTGTTAATGCCTGTGTAACTTGGTTCTGCCTTCTCGGAAAAGAGTCTTGCCCTGGCAGCATTTACAGCATGATGGCTATTTACACATGCGCCCATGTAAAAATAGTACTAATGCTCAAGAATCGTTCAGGTGCCTATTTGCATCTAAAGAACTAATGAAAGAGAGGGGTACAAACTATGATCTAGAGTATTTTTCTGCAGTAAGAATCAAATACAGCATTTCTGCGTTGCGGCTATTCAGGTAGTCAGTTGCTGGTTAGTCAAATTCATATGAAAATTAATTTTGCAGACTCAACGTATTATTAAAAAGCTCCAGGTTGTCCTGAAGTTATTGCTAATAGCTATGATTTGAGTGTACTTGTTTGGTTGGTCTTGTGTTTGACAATACATAAAGCTGCCCTAAAAGAAGGATTTGACGCACTGAATTAGTCTGCTTGGGATGGTTCTGTATGCTGCAGGACATTCTATTGTATGCTACCGCATTCTAGAAATAGCATCTTTCTAAATGAGGTAGGGATGGTAGGGAGCAAATCTGAAAATAGATGAAGCTGAAGCAGGATGAGGGAATGGTTTTCTTTCATGTAGGTAACTAAATGTGGATCTCATTTTATGAAGAGCTCCCAGGTGCTGTGTGCATTTCTAGACGGGAAAGTCCCTACATAAGAAAAAAATCCCTGTCTTACAGTGTGGATGACCTGTGAAATGCCTTCTCACATCACAGATTCTTTCAGACTTCTGTCAGACCAATATGAGTTAGCCTGCATTTTACATGATGTAGTTAAAGCTACTCTAACTTAACCTTCAAATGGAAATTTGGCCATTCACCTCAAATTGAATTTAGCAGCTAAAAAAAAAGTTGTAAGCCTAGTTTGTTCCATTTGCTAAATTCTGTGGTCTGCTCCCCCATCACACATGTGCACACTCGTTTCTCCCCCACAGAACTGTGAAATACCCAGAGTGTCTCTTGCTCAGGTTTTGCAGGGGCACTGGTCGAGTCATTATAAGTCACAGGAAACTCTTTGTGAAGTGTGCTGTGTGGAAACTAAATACCAGACATGAGGTCAAAGCTCATGCAAGCCCTTTTTATAAATGCTGACCTGGGTAGGAGTCAGTAGTCTGGGTATGAGTGAGGGTGTGCAAATTGAAAACAGCTCTGCCACCCACCTTGAACCCTTCTTGCTGGCAGGCTCAAGTCATGTAAAGTCAAGATTAGGCCAAGCTGCTTCCTGTTCTGCTGCTGATGTGCCGTGCCTCCCACTGCACGGATGTCTTAATCCCTTAATATCATAAAGCATTCTCTGTAAAAAGCTCTTTAGTTGAATGGGTTTGCTCTGAATATTAATTAAAGCTAGCGAACCATTTTGAGGTGGCTTAAATGGAAGATCATGCAAAAATGCAAATTACTGTTAAAGTTCACGTTAGGAAGGATTTGTACTAGGGGATTTGCCTTCTAACCACATTGCCTCTTTCTACTCCCCTCAGCCCCTCCCTTCACAACCATCTCCCCTGATAGCAACGCCTCAAGAAATGGCCTCAAAAAGAGCATTGGTGATTCTAGCAAAAGGGGCAGAGGAAATGGAAACTGTAATCCCCACTGATGTTATGAGAAGAGCCGGGGTGAGTATGCAGACAACAGAAAATCTTTCTGTGAGTGCTTGGTCAAGGGGAAATCTTGGCCTCGAGTTGATGTTTGTTGCTAGGAGTTCAAGGTGTAGTCTATTGACTGAGGTGAAAATTTACCTGTGCCTTCTTACTTAGGAGCAAATATTTGTGCCATTCCCCAAAGAAGCATGCGTGACAACTGACATTTGTGCAAAAGATAAACTTTTAAAATACTAGCCTAATGTAGACTAGAGCAGATGTTTCAAGTAAATCTTATCCTGTCGGAAAACATGGCTACTCCCATGCGAAGTAACAGGAAGTGCCTTTTTTGTAGGGCTCTGAACAGCTCTGTACATTACAGCTCATGGCATTACATAGCTTTTCTTGAGCTACTTTTAAAATTCTGTAATTAACTAGAATTATGTCTGGTAGGATTCTTCCTGCTGTTTGTTCCTTTTGCAGCTGTAGCGGTACGCAGTGTTATGATCTGATTAGGTATGAAAATAAGATTTCAAATACATACACCAACTTCACATGTACGGAAATGACTAAAGTAAGAATTACCTTCTCCTACCACCTTTGTCATTCCATTAATGTGCTCCCTATTTTGGCTGCCGTAAGAAGAACAAGCTTGTCTGCTTATTTAGTGAATGTGAGCTGTGCCATGCACATCTATGATACTATGACCAGGCATCTAAAAGTCAAGGGAGAAAACTGAACACACCACAAATGTGTTTGAGAATGGCTTGAGCCTGCAGAGAGACTTCAGTTAATTATCTGATCTACTTAGTCTGGCTCCCCTGGGTTGTATTGCTTTGTTTAAAACCTGTGGGATCAGATATTCTCTAAATG